TTTTCTTCTATGATTTTGTTGAATATGTTTTCTGTACCTTTGAGCTGTATTTCTTCGCCTTCTTGTGTACCTATTATTCTCAGGTTAGGCTTCTTCACAGTGTCCCATATTTCCTGGATATTTTGTGTTAGGGATTTGTTGGTTTTGAGATTTTCTTTGGTTGACTCTATATCCTCTAATGAGTCTTCAACACCTGAGATTCTGTCTTCTATCTCTTGAATTATATTGGTGATACTTGCATCTGTAATTCCTGATCGTTTACCCAGCTTTTCTATTTCCAGCATCCCCTCATTCTGTGTTTTCTTTATCGTTTCTATTTCAGCTTTCAATCCTTCAACTGTTTTGAGTTGTTTCCTTCATTTGTTTGGTTGTTTTTTTCTTGGTACTCTTTAGATTCTTTGAGAGATTGTTTATTTCTTGAACTTTTTGGTTTGCCTTTTCCCCATTTCATGTATTTTTTTGTTTGCTTTTTCTCCTATTTCTTTAAGGGATTTCCTCGTTTTGTCTTTGAGGATGTCTATCATCTTCAGAAAACAATTTTTAAGGTCTGTCTCTTCTGCTTCGTCTATGTAGAGCTTTTCAGGTCATGCTGGCGTTGGGTCTCTAGATTCTGGTGGAGTCATGTTGGTCTTTCTATTGCTGAGTGACCTCTTATTCTGTCTTCTTCCCATCCCTTCTTCCAGTTGTTCAGGTGGAGTCTTTCTGTCTCCACTGGTCTCCTTCTTTTCTGAAGCTGAAGCTAGGGATGCTGGAGGGTGGGGTCTGAAGCTGGGGGCACCGAAGGGTGGGGTCTGGAAGGACTGATGCCTTTCCTGTGTGGGCGGGTCCTCTGGATACCAGGAGCGGGACCCAGGAAGATTGAGGGGATGGGGTGTGGGGGATGTCCCCAGGGAGACCCAAACTAACCTGAAGCTGAAGCTGGGGATGCCAGTGTGTGGGGCCTGGAAGGCGGTTCTAGTGATTTCTTAAGCATGTCTTGGTTCTTTGTTGTGGCGATAAAACATGAGCTCACCAACCATGTGAACATAACCCCTCTTCTCTTCCTCTTGGATATTGTCCTTCCCCTCAGATCCTTGCTACTCTGAGATCTTAAAAATATTACATTTGGCATGCACCATTCCTAGATGGTCTGATTTCACAGTGCTTGACCTAAGTGGCCCCTGAGATTTTGAGTCTGATGCTTAGGAGTCACTTAGCACAGACGTACTCACATACTAGCCTGTCCCTAAGGATAGTCATGTAGGCCCTGCATAGAGACACATGGATGACCTGGAAGAGAACGTATCTGCAATACACATCTTGGCCAGGTTGCACATTGGCCTTGGGGGTGGGTATATAAGGAAGGACTATGTACTGCCATCCTTTTGGCCAGAAGTGGCCTAATTTCAGAACCGTGGAAGCCATAATCAACTTCCCGGTCAGCTGTATGGGAAGCCCTAGTCTTTAAAGGCAGCTCTTCCGTATGTTGAACCTGGAGATACCCAGACTCCATGCTGGTCTCGGTGCATGATGTAATAGTAAAAGTTGAATTTCTCCACTTAGTCACCTAAATTGACTAAACTTTTTGCGTCTCTCATTGGGTAAGAGCCATGATTGGGAGTGATTGCACATATATTTTCTAAGATAAGGGCCTCTAGTTTCAGCTGGCTCAGAACTCAAGCAACTTAAGCCCTTCGAGTTCTGGAATTGCAGGCATGATCCAGTTCCCAGCTTTGTAGTGTAGAGTGAATTCCTGATACCATCCTGGGTCAGGCATTAGACACCTCAGTTTTGCAGGGCCATAGTGGTGCATACCATTAATCCCAGCATTTGGGAGGCAGAGGCAGGTGAATCCCTGAGTTCCAGGACAACCAGAGCTACACATGAAACCCTGTCTCAAAAAAGAAAACACCCCTGTTTTTAAAAAAAGAATCAGGACAACATTTTAATAAGGTTATAGCAAATGGGTGAGTCTGAATTGTTTAAGGGTACCACCATGGTTCAGTAGTTAAATAGCAAGTAGGTAATTAAGGAGCTACCTAAGTAAGCCTCCTTAGACCTGGCAGAGGCTGTTGGGGAGCTGAGAAAAGGAGGGTTCGCTTAGGTTTACTCCTCTCTGTAAATCCCCTGCTTCTTGGATCTGAGAGCTGGCAGAGCTGCTCAGCTGCCTCAGCTTTCCCCTGGCCTCACAGGGCAGGGGGTTTGCAGATGTTGCTTCCTCTGGAAGATCTCTTGCCAAGAATAGCATTCCTGTGGGGAGGGGGTTCAAGTTGGACTGTGCCTGGAATGTTGCTGTTTTTGGTTTGTGTAAATGTAATGCTTGCAGGACAGCTGCTAGAACAAGGAATGTACTCCGGGTTCCCTGCCTCACAGGGAGAGGGCGGGTGTCCAAGATGCTGGGTGCTCCCAGCTCCCAGCCTTTATTGAGGGGCAGAAATGCTGAGGTGTTTTTTTTCATCTACCCTGCTTTCAGGATCTCTTAATTCCTTAATTCTGTTTTCTATTCAAAGTAGAAATGCCATGTTTGCATGAGATATCCACTTATTCATCTATATATGAAATACTGTACTTTTGTATATTTTAAGTTTATGCATGTTTAAAATTAATCTCTTGAAAGCTTGTCCAAAAAACACTGTTGGAGAGCATAGCTAGTGTAGCATGGTAGAGAGACTGTCAAAGACTTAAGCTTGTTTTTTATTTGGGAACCAGAGTTCTAGTGAACTGAATGCAACAGTATTAACTGGTTGTCAGTTCGAGCCAACACAAGCCAGAGCTGTTTCTTGAAAAGCCAGCATTGGAAATGTTGGCCACTGAAAGAGTAATGGGCACCAGTTCTGTCCTGGGTCTATTCTATCCCAGGTTGGAGGTGAGTATTGATAACCTGACAATTTCCCACTGAGGACAGTGAGAAGAGCAATGAAGCGAGTGTCACCGAGTCTCAGAAGAACTTAGGGGCCACGTCTGATTCCTCCGGTTAAAAAAACACAGCTTAGAGGACAGCCTCCAAAACAATACAGAGAAACCCTGTCTCGAAAAACAAAAAAAGCACAGCTTAGGAAAAATCAGGAAGTCCTGTGTCTTAAAAGCTGAGGCAGAACAGGCAGCCAGCCAATAAAAAAATCTGTCATCGTGATTTGCCCATTCGAACATAGGACTTGTCTAGACTCCTGTATCGAGCACCTCGCTTGTATTTCTGAGTCTGGTGTAAGTGACTAGACCTCACTAGCTGCGATTGGTGCTTATTCAAAGCAACACAGCAAGCACCAGTTGGTTTTAGAAGTTACAGTTTTAGAAGAGGCAGATGAATGCTCGCTTTGAGGTTGCTGAAGGGCTGTCTTCAGTTCAGCTCCACCATATAGTCCAGAGGTAGCCGGCCTGTATCTGGCTCCTGCATGGATCTCATTTGCAAACCACAGACTCACCCAGCAGACCTAGCCTGTTCTATGAACAACAATGTTAGGATAAAAGGTTTTATTTGTTGGTTTTTTTTTGTTTTTACATTTTATTTATTTTGTGGACATATAGGCATGTACATAATACGTGTAGGTGTGTACATTGAGGGGACAACTGGTAGGAATACTCTATACCAAGTGGGACCTTAGGATCAAACTTAGATTGTCAGGCTTGACAGCAGGTGCCTTTCCTGGCTGAACCATCTTAGCTTTTGATAAGGTCTGCGAAGAAAGTCCATACATGGTAATGTGTGTATCCAGACATGGGAGTAAAGACAAGTAGTGTATTTGCTAGGCTTCAGGCACTGGTAATGTCAGAGAGACACATGATGCTGGAACAAGAGAAGTGCAGCTTTACCCACAAAGCCTTGAGAAACATCTGCTAGACGCTATGTGGCAAAGGGATCCATGCAAAAGCTTTGGACAATGGAATCCACTAACTAACTTGAATGTGGCTGTGGTAACAGGAGTACTGACTTCCTGAGGGTGGCCCTGGCTCTGGAGGACATGCTACCCCCTCCATCCTGAACTACCATCCTAGAAATGGGACACCTAGAGGACACGGACAGACTGCCTTGGCAGAGCTTTTGTGAAGGGCCTGCATGTGTGGTCAGAGTCGCTACTGTGTGGGGTGGGGAATTAGTTGGGCACATTCCAGTGTGGGCATATTGTCCTGCCGCAAGTTCAGGGAATCCAGTTTTCTCAGTCTAATTCAGAAAGCATTTCTTGAACAACACCACTCATTAGCATTTAGAATAGGGCAAACCCTTGTGACCATGCCAGCATTCCCAGACTAAACTTTGTGGAGTCAGATGTTAATTGAGTGGCCCTTACTGAGAGATTCTGTGTTCAGGTTGATAATTCCATGCTTTCAACACACCGCCACCACCATTGTGATGTCTAGTGGTGGAGGAACTGAAGGATCCTTTGGGAGATGGGGGCAACCATCTCCAACTATTCCAAATAGTCATACAATTAGGAAAGTGGCACACACCTGTAATCATAGCACTCCAAACTCTAGGTCAGTTTGAGTTACACAGAAGGCTTGAAGCTAGCCTTGGCTACATAAAGATCCCATTAGAAAAAAAAAGTTTGAGCAAAGAAAGAGGTGCTGTCCTGCCACACAGAACCGCTCAACCTCTTCACCATTACTAGATAAGCAAAAGTGTCCGCAGGTGTGGCTCAGAGACCCCAGAGGTTCCCACAGGGCTGTGAATTCATGAACACCATCCTGAGCTCGGGTCTTTGTCTAGATGATTGGGTCCCCAGCAATTGAGGCCCCAACAAACTTGCCTAGTCACCCTTAGCTGTATTCAGTTTTATGAGAGGATCTTGTCTGAATCCAGGGACTCTGGAGATGACCCAGAATTGTCCCTAAAAACCAGTCCAATATACATAGAAAACAGGGCTTGAATTCTAAAGACACCCCCAGCTCACCATCAAGGCTGTTCCCTCGGCTCTGTTTGAGACTCCCTCCTACTCCAAGCCAGGCTGGGGCCACATGGCCCCGCCCCACCCAACCCTTGCTGGCTCCCGTTCTAGAATCAAGTCTGAGCTGCTGTGGCTTGTGTTCCCCACCCTCTGACAGGAAGACTGGATTGTAGGCTGAGGGGCCATCACAGCCTCTCCCACATGACACTTACTGCCACGGCTCCAAGGCACCTGCTCCGGGCCCTTCCAGCAATCTGTTGAAGCCCACATCCCAGCAGGTGAGTAGGTAACTAGCACTCGGGGTTTGCTTGCACATGGCTGCTCTCACCCAGTCGCCAGCCTTTCCCTCACCAGTTTAACTGTGGCTTCACTCTTCAAGCCAAAGGGATTCGAGCTAGAGTTGGCACATCCGGTGCTGAAGCTCTGAAATGGTGTGAGCTACCTGCTGCTGGGTTTCAGTTTTTAACCTTTGCTTTACCAGTCACGCTGGAGAAAAACAGCCATGTAACTATTAAATTAACCTCCCTGTGTTCCCGTCTGAGTTTTGTCAATGGACAAACCCACATTCTGAATTGGTTTTGGCTTCTTGGGAGTTGCAGATTGCCTTAGGTCTGTATACCTTAATGTGCTATGTGTATGAATTATTGCTTGTATGAACCTCCTAGTTAAAAATTAATTGAGGCTAGCTGGCATGGTGGCACACACCTGTAATCCCAACATGTGGGAGGTGGAGGTAGGAGTGTTGGTCATCCTTGATTACTTAGCAAGTTCAAGACCAGCCTCAAAAAAAAAAGAAGAAGAAGAAGAAGAAGAAGAAGAAGAAGAAGAAGAAGAAGAAGAAAGAAAGAAGAAGAAGAGAAAGAAGAAGAAGAAGAAAGAAGAAGAAAGAAAGAAAGAAAGAAAAGGAAACGAGACTGGGGAGAGAGCTCAGTCAGTAAAATGCTCGCAGTCTTGAAGACCTGGGTTCTTTCCCTAGAACCTGTGTAAAGAACCCTGGACATGGTGGGATGTTTGTAATCCCAGTGCTGGGAGGTCAGGACAGGTGGATCCTTGGGACTTGCTGGCTGGGCAGTCTAGCCTGCTTTGCTAGTTCCAGATCAGTGGGAGACCCTGCCTCAAAGAAAGGTGGGCAGTGACTAAGTAATGACACATAAAATGTTTCCACATTGCAACACACACAGAAAAATGGCATAGGTGAGCCAGTGTTCTAAACTTACAATAAAGTGTTGTATCCTTATATTTTGCCCACTTTAAAAAAAATTTAGACAGTCTTACTGTGTGGCCCTGACTCACAGTGCCTTTGTTCCCTGTGAAGTTCAATTGTTTCTACATGTTTTTGCAACTAGTAGCTCAATTTCCATGGAAGACTGTGGAAATAGCTTCTCTTGGCCTTTTTAGCATCTCTGTTCTTTTTTCCCTCTCCCCAGAGCCCATTCTCCACCCCGAATGAATACTTGGGGCAAAGGGTAAGGACATTTCTGTGATGCTGCTCACATAGCACATGGGTTAGCTCCCTCGCAGGAATTACAGGACATAGTTATTCTGTTCTGGTCCCTTGATGCTGTGACTTTTGCTCTCAGGAAACTTCAGGAATGAATTGGAAGCAAAATTGCATAGTGTTTACTAGCTTGGTTTGTATGCACATGGATGGCTGGTCTTGAATTCTCACTTAATAATGTTGTACCTTGATTTGAATGTAAAATAGAGGTTGGAAAGTTTCAGGGGTTTATTGGGAGACAGACAGTATGCATGGCATCTAGCATATCTCATTCTCCAGAAACATCTAAAGGGCTCTTCCAGCCTGGGACTGTCCCTGGGCCATTACGAAGCCGAACAGGATGAGAAAGTCTGGGAAGGGCATGTTCTTCCCAGCCCTCTGAGTTAAAGGCTTGGTGGCTGACAGAGGACTTTTTTTTTTTAACTCTTGTCTGTCCTGAGGTCAGAAAATTGGTTGTCAGGGTCAGACTCCTTTGAATGACCCCAGGCCCTGTCCTCCCTCCATGTCACATCAGGAATGTCATCCTTCATTTCTATATTAGTTACTTTTCTATTGCTGGGGTAAAACACCAAGACCAAAGCAATTTGGTTGGTTGGTTGGTTGATTAGTTGGTTTTGGTTTTTCAAGACAGGGTTTTACTGTGTAGCTTTGGAGCCTGTCCTGGAACTCGCTCTGTAGACCTTGCTGTCCTTGAACTCACAGAGATCCGCCTGTCTCTGCCTCACCAGTGCTGGGATTAAAGGCGTGCGCCACCAATGCCCAATTCCCAAAGCTATTTATAAGTGAATTTAACTGGGCTTATGTTTCTGGGATACTGGAATTTAAAATGATGGGACAAAGGGATGGTGGCAGGCGACTTGAGCAGCAGCTGAGAGTTCACATCTAGATCCATGGGCAGGAGGCAGAGAACTCACTCACTAGAAACTTTAGAACCCACCCCTAGTGACAGTCCACACCTCCTAATCTTTCCTAATATTCCTTCCAGCTAGGATCAAGTATTCAAATGCCCAAGACTTCTGGTGGACAGACAGCTCATTCAAAACACCATACCACCTCAGCCACCTCCACAACATAGGCCTAAGAGATCTCAGAGCAGTGGGGAACCCCAGGATGTCTGTAGGTGCCTCTTCTGGTCCCCACACTGCGGCTGCGATGGTGCGTTGCAGGGTATACATGTGGTGCATCATAGTGAACCTTGGATGGATCCCACTGCAGTTTGTACCTCTTGCTACATCTGGGAGGCATGCCATCACTGTGTGTACTCAGGCATCTTACCTGTGACATAGAAATGTGAACACCTGTGCACGGTTAGCATGAGTCAACACAAGTAAATACCCGCTAGTTAGCCTATCATCATCAACGCTTCCGGGGCAGGTACCACAATAAACGACAGAGACAGGTAGAAAATCGCATTCGTTTTCTCAGTCAACAACCTTATGAGGGCAGCTGATCACAGTGTTGGGAACCCAAGGTAGGTAGAGGCTCTTCTACTTTTGAAACAGGCGTGTAGCTTGTATGTAGAAAGTAGGGTCAGTGATCCTGTCCTCTGGGTCTTTAGGAACACTCAATGCTAAAGAATGCATAGCAGCTGATTAGGCGGAGACCAGGAGGAAGGAACTGCAGCAGTGAGGGCTAACAGTGAGTTTGGGTTAGGATAAGTTCTGGTGGGCTTCCAGGCTGGGCAAGGGAAAAGGGGGAGACATGAGAAGACACTGAAGAATGTTGGTGAAGTGAGAATTGCAACTTTACCTCACTGAGATCCTGTGCTGACAGCTTCTGTGGGGGGATTGTATCATGGCCTGGAATGCATCTAGCCTTCTACCATACCTCAGGGACTTTGTCAACACCCAAAATAAAGAGCTAAGCAAAGGTCTGCACAAGGAGGCCTGGCCTAGGACTTGGGTTCTGGGACTCTGGAGATCTGGTTCTTGTCCCTTATGGGAGCACATAGATCTCTTTAGATGACAGCTTGGGACAAGGAGGTTTCTTACAGCTCTTCAAGAAGTCATTAGAAGGTCTCTGGAAGCCATGGCTACCGCAGTCTCTACTCTAAATCCCTGCCCCTGAGACTGCACTGTCCTGGGCGTCCCTGACTCGGCTTTGGGAGAAAGAGACATCATGTCTGAAAGTGCAGTCTGTTCCCTGGATCTGGGAGACTCTAGAACAATCCCAAGGGAGTTCTGTGTTCTGTGTCATGCACGATTGTGTGTGAGAGCCATGTCCTTCAACTATGGAACATCTCTTGGGACCTGAGCTGTACTTGGCCTGGGAACCTCTTAAACTTCTCAGAGGTCTCCATGCTCTAGTGGCATGGTGTTCTGGAAGGGGAACCAGCAAACCTGTCCCTGGGACCCTCTCCAGGATCGGGGATGGGCATGGGTTGGGACATGGGAAGGTTCTTGTGATGAGCTTGAGAAGTCAGACAGATGAGGACTTCCCGGCAGCTGCAGAGGAAGATCACCCCCCACATGTTAAAGCTGTCTGGGTATCAACCCATAAGCTTTCACAGCACAAGGCTATACAAGATTACACAACCAGGACCCAGCTTCCTGTCTGGCCTGGCCACTCATGCATCCTTTCAACCATCCCCTCCCTCCAGCATATCAACAGCCAGCATGTTCCTGCTTCAGTTTCCCTGTGTCCTTGGTGTCCCTCTGCAGACAGGTTTTCACCGTCTCATTTCTCCATTTACAGTCCAGTAGTGGTGTTGAGTGTACACATACTATTAAGGCAACTGATCTTGCAAAACAGAAACTCTACCCACTAAACCACTCCCCAGCCCCTCTCCCCAGCTCCGGGTGACAGCCTTTCTACTTTCTCTCTATGATTTTGATCACTCTTCTACCTGGAGTCTAAGTCTCTTGTGAACCGTGCATTTCACTTGGCAAACTGCCCTCAAGGTTTCTCCATGCTGTAGTGTGTGGCATGGCTCTCTTCCCTCTTCAAGCCGAGTGACATTCCATTGTATGTATGCATACAGTGTATATATATATATTACATACAGTATATATACGGTTTCTGCTTATCTATCCATCTGTCCACAGACTGTAATTGCTTCTGTCTTTGCCTATAGTGAACAAGCCACTATGGACATGGGTAACTTGAACCTGCCTTCCAGCCTTTGCTTTCAGCTCTTTTGCTGAACCTTATGCTAATTCTATTTTCAATTTTTTTGAGGACCACCATACACAGCTCAAGGGCTCCATGTCGCCTCATCCTTATCGAAGTTTATTTGCTGGCAGTCATTGTTGATGACATCCACCCTAATGGATGTGTTGGTGTCTCAGGGAAGCTCCTGTTTATGTTTCCGTAATGACTAATGATCCTTTCATATGCGTGTGTGATCTTTAACAAACTATGCAAGTCCTTTGCCATGTTCTAATTAAGTTGTTTAAGTTGTTATTGGGAGGAATTCTTGATAAATTCTGGGTTTTAACCCCTTATCAGCTAGATTCATACATATTTTCTTCACTCTGTAAACTGCCTTTCACTTTGCTGATTGTATCCTGCGTGCAAAAACTTTTACAAAAACACACACACCACATCTTCTTTATTCAATTTTTAATTTTTTGTTTGTGTTTTTTTGAGACAGGGTTTCTCTGTGTAGTCTTGACTGTCCTGGAACTCGCTCTGTAGATCAGGGTGGCCTCAAATTCATAGAGCTCTGTCTGCCTCTGCCTCCCGAGTGCTGGGATTAAAGGTATGCGCCGCCGCCGCTACCACCACCAGGCTTCATTGTTTAATTTAAAAATTATTCTTATTTCTTTATCCATGTCTCTT